ATATATATATATATATATATATATATATATATATATATATATATATATATATATATATATATATATATATATATATATATATATATGTGTGTGTGTGTGTGTACGTGGTAATCCTTAATCTTTGATAAGAGGATCTAATACAATATCATTAGGCTATTGTTTAAGGTGTATTAAAATATTTTTGTACTATTTTAGTTCAATCTATTGTATACAATCAATCAACTTTTAAGATGTTTATCACTTAATTAGATATATTGGTAATGTTTGGCTATTTAGAGAAAAATCCATTGAATAACTATAACTCCTTTTTTCTTTTTTTCTATATGAATGGGTTGTGGGTATGATCAAAATTATCTTGAATACTTATCCACTTTAATTCTTTTCCAAACAAGAAAGAAAAAAATAATGGACTCTAATTTAAATTTAAGATATATATTAATTTAATGCTGAGAAGTATCATCATTGTTTTATTATTAAATTGGGACCAAATTGCTTGGAGGAGATGAGAAATTTTAATCCCCTTTAATTCTTTTCCTAATTTAAAAAATCAAATTTAGTACTGATCTCACCATGAATTAATTGCTTCTTAGATTTTTGTTATTTGATATGGAACACATTTCATGGATCATTGTTTGTTTAGTATATTCAATATATTGTTAATTGATAAATTAATTTAGTAATTATTTAAAGATAAAACTAATAAGGTGATTTTTTCAATAAAAGTCCCTTATGAACAATGCCTCTCATTTCATATCGCGTAAGAGAGCCTCAACTTTTTAAAATAACAAATATACCTTAATTGATAGTCGACAATCCTAACTTTTTAGATATCGAGTCAATCAAAATTGATTCAATCTTAAATCAAATCAATTATAATATTTTTGATTTATTGATTCAAAAACATTATTGTAGTGTTTAAAAACATGGTACCTCCAACCTTAATAAGTTCAAATCCATTCTTTTTTATGATAATAACGGTATTTTAATTTTTTATATATTAGGAAAGAACTCTCCTAGGATAATATAGAAATGAGGGGCACCATATGTAAAAAACTTCAAGCATAGGGTTGTTTTTATTAAAAAAATTTATCCAATTTAATATTAAATAAATTGCTCTATATCAAATAAGATCCTCCCTCTCCTATATAAACTCCATAGATCCCTCCTTTCTTATCTTTGATTGGATTGGGAGGGATTGGAGGACTACTTCGAGAAATGCCCTTTAAGAGAATGTAAGTACTTCACTTTTTATTTTAATTTAAGTTAATATATTCTTTTATTGTTTAATATTTTATAAAATTATAATATTAATTAATTTAAGATTTTTAACATATATATAGTTTAATTCATGTAGTTCAAGTAGACATAAAAGAAGATCAAACCCAAACCATGTTAGTTTGAATTGGTTTGAACGATGACCTTGGATCCTTCCTATCTTATATACCTGAGAGATCCTTTTTTTTCTCATATTTGATCGGATTAGAAGGGATTCAACCATAAGAGAGAACTAGTACGAGAAATGTGCTGAGAGTGTAAGTATTTCACTTTTTATTTTAATTTAAGTTTTGAACTAATCGATCCTTTCTTTTAGTGCTTAATCTTTCACAATTTTATGATATTAATTAATTTAATATTTCTAATATATATATATATGTATATTTATTTATCTAGTTTAGTTAGTATGGCTCAAGTAGATCCTTAAAAGGAAGATCAAATGCAAACCACTGAATTGGTTTGAATGACTTAGGAATATTTTAATTATTTTCAAGTCGATTTTGGGTAACACCAGATGACATCAAGTTGATTTAGTCTTGTTGGGCTTAATTCAAGATCGATTCAGCTCAAAGTCAATGTAATTCAAGCTAGCTTTTGTTAGTTCCAAAATGATTCATGTTGATTCAAGCTGATTCAATCAATTTATTCAACTCAATCAATCAATTTATCGGTTTAGTGAATTTAAAGAATTTTGTGTGTGATAAATTTGGATTCAATCATTAACTAAGAACGAGGTTGATAGTGTAATGTATGTATAAGTTGAAAGGAGTGAATTGCTTATATTGATGAGGTCACAAGATCCGTAAGAATTATGCTCCAAATAATAGAAATTATTAGTCCTTCATTGCTTCAATACTCTCGTAGACGAGTAGCAAAGCCTCTTCATGTCTAAATTATATATGGATGCCATTTGGTAATTGTATATGTTTGAATTATATTGCAAAGACATCATCATTTTATTTTATGTGATAACTAAGGCAACTCATGATTTCTTATTGTATGTATGACTTTCATGAATTATTGATTTATGTTAAAAATGATTAAAAATATTGGTTTTACAAGTTTGAGATTCTTGAGAAATTCTACTCGGTATGATTATTAAAATATTTTATTTATTTAATTTTTAGAAAAAATAAAGAGATTACATCTAAAATAATGATATGACACTAAGACTTAATGTGTTTTGAAGGAGTTTCAATCTTATCATTGTGATATGGCTTCTTTTTCTTTTTATTTTACCTCAAATTTCATAATTGAAAAAAAATTATTTGCACAAAAGGAATTAAAAATATATATATATATATATAATATTTTTTATAAAAAAATAAAAATTTTATTATATTACAATTTTTATAAAATATTTTTTGTTGTAATTTAAGTTTTAGACTAATTGATTTATTCTTTTATTGCTTAATATTTCATAAATTTATGATATTAATTAATTTAATATTTAAATCTTAATTTTGAAAATATATGTATATATTTTCAGTTTAAGATTTAAAAATATTTTAGCTATTTTCAAGTCGATTTTAGGCGATACCAGATGATTTCGAGTTGGTTTAGTTTTGTTTCGCTTGATTAGATCGATTCAGCTCAAAAATAAGAGTAATTCATTCTAGCTTTTATTAGTTCCAAAACGATCCATATCGATTCGTGCTGGTTCAATCAACTTGAATCAAGATCGGTTCGACATAAAACAACTCATGATTTCTTATTTTATGTATGATTTTAATGAATTATTGATTTCTATTAAAAATGATTAAAAATATTAATTTTACAATTTTGAGATTCTTTAGAAATTATACTTTATATGACTATTAAAATATTTTATTTATTTTTTTAGATAAAAATTAAAATGTTACATCTAAAATAATGATCTAACATCGAAGACTTAATGTGTTTGGAAGGAGTTTTTTGTCTAATCATTGTGATCTATCTTTTTTTTTTCTTATTTTGCCTCAAATTTTATTTTAAAAAAATATTTATGTAAAAAATTAAAATTATGAAAAAAGCTTTTTTATATAAAAAATAATTTTTTAATATATTAAATAGTGCATATGATGTTTATATATAAAATTGCATGTGATTTTATTATATTAAATAGTGCATGTGATGTTTATACTCGAATCTAATACCTATCGTATGACAATAATGCAAGAAACAAAGTAGTGATTGCTAAGACAAACATGATAAATTTTCTAGATAATTTCTCATTCCAATCATTATAATCTAATAGTTTATTTGATTATTCTAAATGGCTAATTGAACATGGAATGATGTTTTTTGCTGTGCTTATCTGATCGCTTCTTTTCTTCCTGGCTTTTGCTCGATCATGGAAGTGTGATACCCTTGAAAGGAAGTGCGAC